AAAAGAACATAGATCAATTATTTTTACATTACAACTTTTTTTAATTGGATTAAGACGAAAAATTTCCTGCTTATAATTTCGAATAATTTAAGCAGCATTTATGGTTCATTTTTAAATGAAAATTTTTTTTATTTAATTAGATTGAAAAACTGCATTTCATATTCAGAGTAGTAAATTGAGCAGTATGCGTTGCACAGAAACTGCTGATATTATTTTTAAATTTAAATAAATTAAAAAAATTGTAATTTCTATTCACAATTCTGAATTGAATAGTATTCAACTGAAGTAGTGGTTATTTAATTCTCCTTTAAAATATTATATGATTCCCTATTCTTAAGCCTTTAGATTTTTATTTGTGAGAGCACTGAAAATCCTCAGTTTATGAAGTTCCAATCACCAATGAACATGCTACGCCAACGCATCTTTGATGCTTATAACACGATTCGCAATTGACTTGGGATTTTTGAAAAAGTGCGACAGTTCATGATTTAACCTATCGAAGCGTATATATTAAATTGAATGGGAGACATTTTGAACATTTGTTATAATTAAAAATTGAAAATAAATAACATTAAATAATAATAATAAACGTTATTTTAATTGTTCCCTATAATAAACATTTTGAATTGTATTAATCTTAATAACAATGAGTTTGCAGACATATGTTCATATGAACTTTTTTTCATATTTTAGTGTGAAAAGTTCGGTCTAAAGTTTGTTATCTTATTTTAGTTACACCCTGTACAACTAAAATTTTTTGTCTTGAGAAATATTGCATTCGCGATCGATGATCAATACAGCGAGTCAATAATAATGGATGCTTTTACTTTGAATAATGAGAATTTTTCGACATCTTTACGGGAGTTTGAGTCCTTGTGAATATTGAAGTAATTAAGAGTTAAAAACTGATAATATTGTACTAATTTTATGATTTATTAGTTTAGTAGATGTATTTATGCATTTAGAACTCAATAATACTCGATTTTTCTTTAAAATTATAATTTCAGTGTTATAGTCAAAGTTTGATTATTAACAGAGAGATTAATAACTGCAGAGAAAAAATTGTAATTTTTCTGCAATATATAAGATATTATACAAGTATGCATATTTATTTATGGAACATTTATGTAAAAAATCATGAATTTAGCAATGTATAAGTCAAATATTTATGTTAATAATAGTAAATTTATATCAATTGTCGATAATATCAGCATTCTTCAATTATTTCCGGGCCCTTGGGGCCCTTTTTATAGCTGAAAATTTGCCCAGGGTTGATGGTCTTTAATAGTATCTCGTCAGTGTCCCGAGGTAGGGCTGGTTGTTCCACCTTTTGGTAAATTCACCGACGAGATACTATTAAAGACTGTCAACCCTGGGCAAATTTTCGGCGATATAAAAAGGTCCCGGAGGTAATTGAAGAACGCTGACATTATCGACAATTGATATAAATTTGCTATTAACATAAATATTTGGCTCATGCATTATTAAATTCATGATTTTTTTATTACATAAATGTTCCATAAATAAATATGCATACTTGTAGAGCTATAATATCTTATATATTGCAGTAAAATTACGATTTTTTTTTGCAGTTATCATCTCTGTTAATAATAAAACTTTAACGATAACACTAAAATCACAATTTTAAAGAAAAATCGAGTATTATTGAGTTCTAAATGCCTAAATACGTCTACTAATAAAACATAATACATAAAACATAATACGTAAACTAATAAATAATAATAATCATAAAATTAGTACACTATTATCAGTTTTTAACTCTTAATTACTTTAATATTCATAAGGACGCGAATTTCCTAAATTCGTAAAGATGTCGGTCTCTAATAGTATCTCATCGGTATTCCACCTTTTGATAGATTTTATCTGTTGGATAAGTAGCAAAATTACCCAATCACGTGCATGGATTACCAGATTTACCTCACAGGTAAAATTTACCAAAAGGTGGAACAATCGGCCCTTAATGACATGTTTCTGCATATGAATCTCATTTGAAAATCGAGATAGACAACACAAAGCTGTTCAACAAAAGAAGTCACGAAATGATTAGCGATAATTATTCGATAGACGAATTAATAGAATAAAAAAAATTATCCATTTTTGTGTGCCACATTATATATTATTCTTTCTTTACAAGAATAACGTACGCTTCTTGCATTTTTTTTTCAAACAGTGTTCAACAATTACGAGGGCTCGATATAACTCGATTCTCAAGAATCGATTCATTTTTCAGAAAACGAGTCCATTAATTATATAGAAGTGAGATTGAGGTAAGGTTAAGTTGTATATCTGTCAGCACTTTGAAATATCGTTTTTTTGTATCTTTGTATAATAATAATATTAATAAATATTGTCTACAATATTAATAGGATTGAATTGCAAGTATTATATTTATTATTTCAATTATTTTGATGAAAAAGTGATTTTTAATAAAACCATTTAAAGTTGAACAGTTGGCATTACCGGAATTACACGTTGCGAACTGTCATTCGTTTATACAAAAATTACGATATAAATATTTTACACATCATCAAACGCGAGACTAGAAGATGTACATTACACTTGTCGCGTGCTGTGGTAAAAGTTTTAGATATATTATTGTGGAAAAAATATAACTAAACAATTATTGTAACCTGTTCAATTCTCCATCCACAAGGTAAGATATTCTATTTGGAATTCTTTGTGTAAGAAAAGTTAACGTAGCATAAGCATATTCACTTCTCGTAAAGGATTTCATACAATTAGAATTTACATTTACAGATGAGAACTTTACTATTTTTGGGTCTATTTTGTATAATTGTTGCAGTGGAACCTAAAGAGGTCGATCTAAAGCATTTGAAATGTTTAGGTGAAAATCAATGTTAATCTCTATGATAATTCTATTTTAACAATAATCATAAATTATGATAAGAATAATTTTTATATCTTACAGTTTGTAGGGCAGCTATGAATGAATTGGAAAACGAGGTTCTCAAAGCTAATCCAAATAAATTAGTTAATGTAGGTAATTTTAGAATGGATGCTGATGGGAATACTATATATAAAAAGGTAAAAAGATGACAAAAAAATGTCAAGAAAAGATAGATCATTAGTATTAAATTTATAAAGAATATTTTTGCTGCTTTTATAAACTTATAAACCTAGCAAACGAGAATGGATTGAAATATTTTTCTATCCGAATGCGTATTTTAAATAGTGAATACTTTTTTTGGATTTAATTGGATTCAATTGGATTTAATTAGATCCAATTTGATGTAATTGGATTGAAAAACTGCATTTTCTATTCAAAATTTTGAATTGAATAGTATTCACAATGCAGAGAAAAAGCTAATATTATTTTTAGATTGAAGGCATACAGATATGCTCCATGCAATTCCTATAAATGAATAAAAATGCATTCAAGATTGAAAAGCATTCATTTTAACATTCGTGAATCAATGTTTCTGAAAATCTGAATCCAATTTCTATTCAATCCATTCTCGTTTGCTGGGAATCCATTCCCTAGTTTCATATGTTCAATTTTCCTACACAACAAAGTTCTCCTCTGAATATCTTTTGGAGAATTGTGTTGTATAAGTTTTTAATTTTTTAAAATTCGATATTTATTATTTTAGGTGCCGTTAGGTCGATCTGAAACACATATTTCGATTTTGCTGGACAATATTTGTGAAAAACTGTCGGATTACGTAAGAGCAACGAGGAAGTCTGATAATCAATTAATGATCTTTAATCTTATGTCTCCATCGGGTGGTATGAATCCTATTATGAGCGAAGTAGATATAATTCAAGATAGTGATTTAAATAAGAGCCTCGAGCATTATGTGAGTGCTGTTTATTACATTTTATATTTGCTAAAAGTGCTTTTGTCATTAATTTGAGTTAATCGTTTTCAGTGCAGCGCTGTAGTGGAAGAATTTGAAGAAGATATAGTGTCATTGTACGTTAACGGCACACCCAATAAGAAAAAAGAACTTTGCACAAAGATCTCAAACATTTGCAATGAAAATTATGTCGATGAGGAAGACGACGATTATAGTGATAATGAAGTAGATAACGATAATTATGATTCAAGTTTTGACATAGACAGAGACGAATTGTAAATGCATTTGAAATAATTTTTACAGAAATATTATTTATATGCATAAGAGTAAAAAGAACCAGAAATAGTTGAAATAAATATTATATAAATATAAATATCTATTTTTATTTAAAAAATTCTATAAATAATAAATTTTTTTTTCAAATCTTTCGCATTATACGATACAATTAGTTATTTAATATTTTATACTTATCTCAAATGTTAATTAAACGCTATTTGCTATGTGAAATATGCAGCAGTGTAAAAGCGTTGCAAAGATTATTAAGTAGATTTTTTATATTTTTAAAAATATTTATAATAATAGCTATATATAACATGTTATATAAAAATTTATTATGAGTAAAATAGAAGAATTAAATAATTTCGAAATATCGATAATTCTATCATTATCTCGTTCGTTTCCATGGTCTACTCTTCTAATCAAATTTTTTCTGCCTCTCACTTTCACCGCAATGGCTGCGTTCAGCAGAGAAAAACAAATTTGCAAGATTGTTATGAAATTCTTTAATATGATTGGTTATACATTTAGATCTAGCAAGGAATTACCGGCAAGAATCAATAATATTAAAGAATTTTACAATTGCAAGATAACTTTTTTTTGCTGAACGCAGTCAATGTTTTCTAACGGAACGTGTTTTAGCGCGTAAAAATTTGTTAAAGCCACGCGGGTTTCTATAAGACCGACAAATGCGAATCTCGAAGAGATAGACCTGACAGACAACGCTAACGACGGTCTCCACTTTTCCAAGAGAGAAGCTCGTCAGTCGCCGTCAGTATTCGAGTATTTCGTGTCTCTCACGCTTGACTTCTCATCCAAAGGGGCCGCGATTTAGAAGCGATCCGGCTAGAGTGAGAACCAGTGAGAACTTTCGTAAGTCCGAGGTCAGCTCGTCAGCTGTCTTGCCGTATTTCGACTTTCGACGCGTGTGCGTGCGAGCGTGCATGCGTGTGCGTATGACGTACGCGCGTGGCAATGACAGTCGGTTCGTTCCGGGAACGTTGAGAGCGCGTGCGAACCGTGGTGAACCGTGGTGAGCCGAGAGGAAGACTCATCCGTCCGTCCGTCCGAACATATGATCGTAGCCCCGCCGAGGGCGCGCGTCGTCGGTTTTTCCGGGAAGCGTGATCGTTCGCCTTCCGTACCCCGCCGCGGCCGACCTTAGTCCACGATCCGATCGCGCGTGCGACTCGCGGTCCTCGCGGAAATGACAAAGCGCGCCCCGCTCGCGCGTCAGCACTGAAGAAGAGAATTCGTTCGCGGACGGATAAATCCCGAACGAAGAAGTCCCGAGCGAAAGAAGCGGAGCGCGGCTGCAAACATGAGTTCCGTCTGGAAACGCTTGCAACGGGTGAACAAGAGAGCGGCCAAGTTTCAGTTCACCGTTTCTTACCACGAGGTCACGTTGGAGACAACGACAAAGTGGTGAGTGACGCCGATTCATTCCTGGCTGAGCGAAAGCTTCCTTTCGCCGCGGCTTTCTCAAGTGTTCTGAAATCTGTCGTTCGAACAGGAACTAACACCAATATCTTTTCGTCTATACGAAAATCTCTACGTAACTGTCGTCTGCTCTGAAAAGGAGCAGTTGTTGTGTTTTACAAGAAAGTGATGGATATTTTTTTTTCTCTTGGAATAAAAATATTTTGAAAAACGAAATTAAGTGATATATATGTAAATTTAAATTAGTGTCTTGCGTTTAGATTTTTATACACTATGCATTGTGTTTTAGAAAATATGTTTATATTTATGGCACTTTAGATTATGATATCTTTTAATTATATGTGCACATTTTGAAAAAATATGTATGTGAGATAACTGTAATTTGCAAGATTAAAAACATAATTTTGTAAAGTTATTATATTAGGATATAAGTGTTCTAGCAGAGAGTAGATATACAAAGATAATAACATTTTCTAGGAAGCCAAACAAATTGAGCGTTGTTTGGACAAGACGTAGCAGAAGAGTCAGTTCAGAACCTTTAGACTGGGAGCCATGTTTGAGTGATCCTTTGAAGGGTGTCATTAGCTGGGCAGTTCCTGACAATCATACAGTTTCCGTGACACTGTTTAAAGATCCACGGACACATGAGCTGGAAGATAAAGATTGGACATTTGTTATCGAAGATGTGAGTATAGCATATACACTGATACACTCGCAGAAGGACGTAGCACAATGGTATATTCTACTCTCGAACAGGTGTCGTCGACGGGAAAGAGACGTCATGTGGCTGCCACTAATATAAATATGAAAAAATATGCAACTTTAGAATCTAGTCAGCAACAACTCAAATTGGACTTGAAGCCAACTTCTAAAAAGATTGTTAGCGCTACGCTAGAATGTACTTTGTCATGTGTATTTCTACGAGAGGGCAAGGCAACGTAAGTGTGCAGTTTAATTTCATTGACATACTGCTAATTAATTTCATAAGCTAGATAATAACACTTGTCCTTTATGTAAATGTATTTTAAATAGGATAAACATTAAATAATGCAATAGCAGCATGCTGAATCTGTCAATAGATTATTTTAATCTGAAGATGTTATTGAAGTGTGCCATTTCATTATATTGGATTTGTTGATAAATACTTATTGAATAAAATTGTCTTTATTTTTCTAGGGATGAAGATATGCAAAGTATGGCTAGTTTAATGTCGGTTAATAATAACAGCGACATTGCGCCATTAGATGATTTTGATAATGAAGATATACCTGAAGATGTTGAGGAAGTGTCGGTAAAAAATTTGGACGAGTTTTTAGATATCTCTGCTCAACTTGATCTAATGACGAACAGTCTTACTGAAAGTGAATTACCCAGTACTCCTATAAGTGGTGAGTGTTGATCCTTGCTTTTTATTGAAACTGTGTCCATAAGTATATGTATCGAATATAAAATATGTAATTGCTGTCTTAATTCTCTAACTTGTTGCTTTATTAATTTTATTATAATTTATGGAATTAAATTTACTAATAGAATATATAATGTGTATACAATAGTGGCAAGTTTATCAAAGGATGATACAACTCCTGTAAATGATGGCGAGCATTTTATACGCGACATTAGTCTAACAGGAATTGGAGACTCTCTAAAGGAAAAATCACCCGTAAAAGACAATGTTGCCGTTGAAAATGAGTATGTATGAGTATAATTACAGTATTATATTTTACAAAATAGCGTACGTGTGTGAAATACGATATTAGAATGACATAATTGGTACAATAACTTTATTGTTTTCACAAATAGTTACTATGCAAAAAGTTAGTTATTTTTTTATTTCTAAGAAACACAAGAATGATTACTTTGTTACTATTCTATATAATGTAGTAAATAATATAATTGCGAATTCAATATCTTTGTAGCAAAAACATTGAACACAGCACATTGAGATTGCCGCTGCAACCATTGGATCTTAAAAAGAATGACGCAAATGTTCCAAGACTGAAAGAGGTCACTCCCGGCCAAGATCTATTGGAATGGTGTAAAGAAGTTACAAAGAATTATCCCGGTGTCAAAGTCACTAATCTGACGACATCTTGGAGAAACGGAATGGCGTTTTGTGCAATTATTCGTCATTTCAGACCTGATCTGATGTAAGTGCTCTTACAAGGTTGATCGAATGACGTAATATACTAAAGTGTTTCATTCTTCGCGCTACTTTTTTTGGAAATAAAATGTCAATAGGCGATCATTCTTGGCGATATGCCAGTTATTTTATTCGCGTATTCCATTAATAAACATTTTGAAATCGCCATTGTCTTACGTCGAACCAACTCGTGCCAACACTTTGACGATTATTTTTGATACTGGAAAGGTCGACGCATTTGTGTATTTATAGCCGCATATGCAACAAATGTTTGATTGCGAGTTTCCTGATCAAATTGAATAATATAATATACGAAATAAAAACTTACAGAGACATCGATTCTCTATTGCCGCACGATGTAAAAGGCAACTGTAAGAAAGCGTTCGACGCGGGTGAAATTCTGGGCATACCCAGAGTTATTGAACCGGCTGACATGGATATATTAACGGTACCTGATAAATTAGCTGTGATGACTTATTTATATCAATTGAGAGCGCATTTTACCGGCCACGAATTAGAGGTATTTCAACGAAATTTTTTTTATGTAATGGCTTTATCCAATTATTGTAGTTATTTTTTTCTTTTTGCACATAATATTACAGATAGCATATAATTAATAATATATTACCGTTTTACCAAAATTTAGGTACATCAAATAGGTAAAACAACGGACGAGTCCTCTTACATGATCGGCAGATTTAATACGGACAACAACACTGACGTGAGTGTTCAACTATTTGGTCAAGAGATTATTAATTTACGGAAGAAGGAACAGATCGAGCAAAAAAACAATAAAGCGGAAAATAACAGACGGTAAATATATTCTCAATGACATTGTAATCTATCAAATTACCAATCCAAAGTACATTTCTACAACAATTTATCAAAAGCACAGATTAGAAATTGTGATTCACTGTCGTAGGTCGAATCCGTTTGATAACAAGAAGGATGACATCGATTCGTTAAAAAACAAGCTGCATTTGAGCCTGAACATCGACAATCAGGATCACGATCAATGCAACAAAGACAAATCGCCATCCAGCGTGAAGGAGGTCAAGGACATTATATTAGCCAGCTCAAAGAGCATTCTGGGCAAGGTGTTATCGCCGACCAAAGAAAAATACTCGTCGAGAGAGAAGGTACGTAGAGACTACACGGACTGAGTTCGAGTCAATTTCGACGTTGCAATTATTCCCGAGAATTGTCTAGAGTAACGTCGCGTATAATATCCGACGGAATTTGCGCGCAAATTTTTTTTCGTTGTGAGGAAATGAAATACCAATTTACCGCAGAGTAAGTCTCCGCCGAGAGTGCAACAAGCGCAGCAACGTCCGATACTTATGACACGCCGACAATTAACCGATCCGTTCGGCTCCGACGACGAAGAGGAGAACATACAGATAATCGATGACAAATGGTCGCAATCGATCTCGCTTACCAAATCGCAAAGTCCGGTCCGTGATGTCAGTATATACGAGATTGCGCAGACTGTCGCTTTTTATGCATTTCTTCTGTTATACCTATCGCTGCATTAACAATAAATCCATAACGCGCACTGTTACATTCTCCTTCTGTTGTTTCTTTCCATCGGCGAATTATATCAAAATGCATTGTCTCAAGGTCTGTTCTTTTACTTTTCAATTGTCATAAGCGAACAGATTGCGCTTTGTGACGGCAGGAATTACGCCTACATAATACACACATATAATTGCATGTAAATATGCATGAGAATTCGCGCATAATAATTCCGCAATGCACGTGTAGATTTATACGGGCTGTTTCATAAGCTTTTGCTTTAAAATTTCTTTAGCGTATATTTAATTTAATTTTTCAATAAATTGTAATGTGTTCATAACTTTTTAAATTATCAATATATTTGAAAATTCTAAAAAAAAAGTATCTCTAAGAGATCTCATAAAACCTTGCACTTCTATAACAGAGTGTCAAATAATAATATCAGGAAAAGTCATAACTTATTTCAGTAATATTTAGTTGTTTTTTTTTTGCGGATTTTACACTTTTTTCTTATAACGCGTTTCTAGGAATAAAAAAATTATTATATATGTGATAATATCTCTCTCTAATTACAAACAACTTGTAAATTTGATAATTTTATATGACATAATTATATATTGTTGGTTTAATAATCTTTATTTATTTTTACCATGACATTTTTTTACCGCGAAAATACTGGTCTGAATACTGGTCGTATATTTATAAAGAAGCTTTGCAACAATGTTATGACATAATAAGGCTGTAAACGTATATAGGACGATCTTTTGTAGGACTCGGTAAACTCTGACGATAGAGGAAGTCGAGGTAGTTCCGAATGCCAAGGTGCATCGCCGCCGTATGGAGAACAACGGTCACATGTAATTAACAATATATTTGCTGTTAATATTATGTCGCTTTTAATGTTATATCATATCAATGTACCCCAGCAGCAATGAAACTAAAGTCATTCAAAATAAATGAAAATTTTATGAATACTCAATTGTTGCACTAATCGTTCATGTTTCTTATTTTTTTTTTGTATTAGCCGTTAGTTAGTCGACACGATGAATTGCGAGAGCGAGCGAGACAACTCTTGGAACAAGCTAGGAATCAAACGAAGCCATCCGGATTTGTTTCTGCTGCTATCAGTCCCGTTGAGGTTTTGCAATTTTATTTACATTAAAGAATTAATCGAGTATTTCTCAAGGAATGAGCATCTATATGTATGTAATATATTTTGTAGACACAGAATGATGACGAGAGACAACAGAACTTGCGAGAAAGGGCGAGACGCTTGATTGCGGAAGTTAAAATGGGCGTCGCTGTGACTCCAAGTCAGTTAAATGATGATAACAATAGTGACAGACGATCGATAGACGATCAGAATAATAGTCCTAGACGCAGCATTACGCCATCGACACCTAGTGATCGAATCAGTATAAAGGTATTGCGATATAATTTACTTTTTTACACAATTATGTAATAAAACGATAAATTATAACTAATTTTTTAGTCTGAGTACAATGGAAATATACTGGGAAATTCAAGTATGATAGATGGAGAAAAGAAAACTGGCTCTCCTTTATATTCCTTCTCCAAAATTATTGAAAGAATCTCGCCCGATAAAGGAAGTCCCGATAGAACTCCGTATACACTTCGCGGGGTATGTTAACTTGCATTATTAATTTAATTTCGTTGGATATTCTATTAATTTTATTATATTTGCATTGCAATTTTACTAGGAAGTGAATATTATTAATTTAATTTTAATATAAAGAAAGAAACGCATGGAATGCAAGAGATCCGGGTTTGACTCCCGGCTGAGGCAATATTTTTCGCAATAAGTTTATTACAATTTTTTAAGATTTGAGAAATTTGGGGGGGATTATTAATATTTCAGATTAATTGCGTTGAAAATCCGACAATCATATCGGCACGTAATTATCATATTTGAAATTAATTTATTTAATTGAATATGTAATATATAGTAGTTCAACATCTTAACATTCAGACCGTAGTGGCGCTTCGTATCATCTTTGTAATGTATTTTAATATAAACGGTCTTATTTCCAATCATATAAAGAAAAAAATTGTAAAACAAAAGTATTTTATAATGACGATTTATTTTTAATTCAATGTTCTAGTTGGGTAAAGACATGACATCGTATATTCAAAATGAGCTTGAAGCACTTGAAAGAGAGCAAAATCAGATTGACATACAAGCTGGCAAGCTTGAAAAGCAATTGAGAGCAGCCATGGAAAGCGATAACGAAGAAGAAACGGAAAGACTGATGGCTCTATGGTTTACTCTTGTTAACAAAAAAAATGCTCTCTTAAGAAGACAAATGCAACTAAACATACTGTAAATGATTTATTAATTCAAACATGTTATTATGTATTTTTAATTTTGATTAAAAATGGGATAGGATGATATTACAATTAATCTTAATTGAGAGGAATTTTTTATCTTTAGGGAGAAAGAAGACGATTTAGAGCGAAGATTTGAGCTTTTGAATCACGAATTAAGAAGCATTCTTGCAGTGGAAGATTGGCAAAAAACACCAGAGCAAAAAATGCGTGAAAATTTATTGTTGGAGGAATTAGTATCTATTGTAAACAAAAGGGATGAGTTGGTGCATCATCTCGATACACAAGAGAGAGCGTAAGTGTATAACAAATAGATATCTTGCGCGCTATTATTTGTCTAAAATTATTAAATTTTTCTTTTCCGAATAATCTTTAGCATTGAAGATGATGACGAAATAGAGCGTGATTTATCTCGCGCTGGACTAGCTCAACGAAATAAAAATTGCGTTGTGCAATGAGGAGTTAATTATTTATCATGTTTTTTCTCAGAATTATTGTGAAGGTAAATTATTTATATTATATAGCATGTTTTGAAAAATGGAAAAATGAATAATTAATACAATCCAATTTATTATTTGCATGAGATTTTCATTCACGTTATTTTTTCATTAATTCTAATTTATTTCGTTAAATAAATTTTAAATTAAATCTTTTTTATTATCTCTGTTTGTTAAATTTCCTATTTTTATTAATAAACTTTCTGATCAAAACAGATTAGCAGGTAATTGTTAATAAAGACAATTTATATTAAGCTTTTTCTTATTTATGTATCGTTTTCTATTTCTCAAAAATTTTTTTATAAGAAGTAATATTCAAAAGTACGATTTTTTACATTTACAGGCATGATCCATGTTGCTGTGGAGTTGTCAAAAAGTCGGCAAAATTAGATGTTGAAGAGTCAAGTGTGAACTTTCATGGTTTACAAACAGGTTATTTTTGGAGACTTATTTTTTATTATGCATTGTAGATTAATTCATCAAAAGATAGATCAAACAAATTTTTCCATTTCTTTTGTTTTTAATATAAGTTCGTCGATTCACGATGAAAGAAAAAACGTAATTAAATTTAGACACTGTCGAATTATTAGATATAAATAGTTAAATGATTTTTTGTATTGAGCATAATATCGATTATGTAATGTAAGCATTTTATGCTTCAAGTGAAATGTTGCGCGTTAATAGTTGCGAATGTGTGCAAGTATATGACATGATATGTAACTATGGAATACGGAATCGTGTAAAACAGTTTACGAATCAGTAAGTAGATGAAAAGAGGTATAATTTTTCTTCCTCGAATAAAATAAAAGTGAACGCAAATGCAAAGAAGCTCGAAAAAAATGCAAATTAGTGATAAAAATATATTTTAGCAAGATTCAAGATCTAATTACGGAATCTATTTAGTGTTATATATTTTAAAAGATTTTGTTTATACATATATAAATTAGTATCTGGTTCAAGAAAGTATAAATTGAATGCAGTTCTTTCATACGAGTGAATTTTAGATATTTGATTTATGTGAAAAATTATTATGAGACTTAATTGCTAAGAGATTTAATATTGGAAAGCCAAAGAAAGTTAAAGCAAGTTGTTACGCAAGAACATGTGAGAGACACGTGAAGAGTAATTTAGTAAATTTATTTCGTGTTTATCGATCCAAATCGATTCACGGAAAATTAATTGTGAAACTATTGCGGAAAGTGGAACGCATGGCTATAGTTTTCGTATTTGCATCAGTTGTTCTCATCGAGCATTCGCATGTACTCTATTTGTGCCATACGAACGAATTGATATACTTTTTGCATCCTATTTGACGAGTTTGTACAAATGCGTTAAAAACAAATTCGCTAATCTTATTGACGGTATGAGATTTTTAAAGAAACCGTAGTAAGATTAATTTTTACTAAGACTAATTCTTATATGTGGTAATGTATAACTGCGTGTAATAAGAATATTATGTTGACTATAACTTTTGATAACAAAATGGTGCATTATATTTAAATGTTTTGGCTAACAACATATAAAGAAAAAAAATAAATAAATTCTTGATAAATTCGCTCAAAAAATTTTCGGCTTAACGGATCTCGAGGGCAAGAAATTATAATGAATGTTTATTACATTCGTTGTTCCATTTGGAACGTTTTAAATGGCAGAATAAATAATTATCGTCTTTTTATAACTGCTACAGATATGAAATTATTGACACATATTGTGACAAAAAGTACATTTTTTAGTACAATTGCTTCGTAAAACAGAATACAAAGTAGCATTTACCTGCTGAAAGCAATATATAAGATATAGATATATACATTTACTTCCCATAATACAAAACAAAGTTATTTCTTAACTCTTTGTTTCATTGTGATTTTATCGGGTGAAATTACAAATTTAACATTTAGATAATGAAAAGTACTCTAATTTTATATTGAAAATATCGTTTTACTTTATTAAATATTTGTAGCAAAAATTTTCAAAATTTATAATTTTTGATGAAATTTATGAAATAAAGAGTTAAAAATAGAACATGTGGAAATTAGTTGTTTTACGTATGTTACGCTTGACAATCACAATGAATGTCCAATTTTTTTAACACCGAACAAAGAATTAGAAGACATCTGTTTCAACGTTATTATAACTATAATTTATGCAACATAAGCTTCAAAAATTAAACATATGTTGTCTCTATGTTAATCTTCGTTTAAATAAATTGTGAATTTTGTGAACATTAATACGTACTAACACAAACTATTTATAATTATTATTGAATTGTATTACATTGTATGCATCGAAGACTGTATTATAATTTACAATGTATGCATCGAAGACTGCGTGAATTCTTGAAATATTGGAACATCAATACAGTTGGGGATAGAATGACAATTAATTCGGACACACGCGCGCGCGCGCGCACACACACACACACACACACACACATGTTTCAAACAAACCATGTAAAATTGCCCTCCTGGAAACATATATAATTATCGGAACGCGCGATTAAAGTTTATGAGAACATTGGAGAATTATTTCCTCTCTCTTAATATGATAATATATATCTGTAATTAAATCGAGTACAGCACTTCAACAATTTTATATTTTTACTTTTAACTTTGCTTCTCATTTTTATTTTAGTTCTCGCAAGAAATCCGTTAAGCTAGAAAATAGAATATTGCTGAAGTTGGTCCTTAGCAAAAGAGGAAATAGTTCTTGAAATATATTATTCGAATATTGAGAAACAACAGATATTCTAAGCTACAAAGTGTGATCTCTGCCCTGTTAGACCGAATGAATCGCTCATTACACGATCTCATTATGAAGTTCAATGTATTCTAAAATCTAAATAGGCAATTATAAACTACACTGGGTAACAAAATTAACGCAACACCTGTTCACTTTGCAAAAATAGGCAAATTTCAAGATACAATAATTTCGTCAAAAATTGTCATATCGGGAAGCATTTAAAAAAGCATTTTACAGATAGAAACCTCTACTTTTCGGATCGCTACTTAAAAAAACGGTCTCATGGAGATTTCATGAAGTTACACAAACATAAATGAAGATATATCGGATTTCAAAATTTTTTATGAAATTTGCGAAGTTCCACGGAATGGAATAAAAATTGTATACAAATGCGATTGACATCATTCGAAAGAGCGAATCTTTACCTTTAATTTGCTTTTTTACGAAGCTCCGTACGATTTTTTTTCATCGAGTTATTCAACGTTGAAGCAAAAATGAGGTAAAGATTCGCTCTTTCGAATGATGTAAATCGCATTTGTATACAATTTTTATTCCATTCCGTGGAACTTCGCAAATTTCATAAAAAATTTTGAAATCCGATATATCTTCATTTATGTTTGTGTAACTTCATGAAATCTCCATGAGACCGTTTTTTTAAGTAGCGATCCGAAAAGTAGAGGTTTCTATCTGTAAAATGCTTTTTTAAATGCTTCCCGATATGACAATTTTTGACGAAATTATTGTATCTTGAAATTTGCCTATTTTTGCAAAGTGAACAGGTGTTGCGTTAATTTTGTTACCCAGTGTAGTTTATAATTGCCTATTTAGATTTTAGAATACATTGAACTTCATAATGAGATCGTGTAATGAGCGATTCATTCGGTCTAACAGGGCAGAGATCACACTTTGTAGCTTAGAATATCTGTTGTTTCTCAATATTCGAATAATATATTTCAAGAACTATTTCCTCTTTTGCTAAGGACCAACTTCAGCAATATTCTATTTTCTAGCTTAACGGATTTCTTGCGAGAACTAAAATAAAAATGAGAAGCAAAGTTAAAAGTAAAAATATAAAATTGTTGAAGTGCTGTACTCGATTTAATTACAGATATATATTATCATATTAAGAGAGAGGAAATAATTCTCCAATGTTCTCATAAACTTTAATCGCGCGTTCCGATAATTATATATGTTTCCAGGAGGGCAATTTTACATGGTTTGTTTGAAACATGTGTGTGTGTGTGTGTGTGTGTGTGCGCGCGCGCGCGCGTGTGTCCGAATTAATTGTCATTCTATCCCCAACTGTATTGATGTTCCAATATTTCAAGAATTCACGCAGTCTTCGATGCATACATTGTAAATTATAATACAGTCTTCGATGCATACAATGTAATACAATTCAATAATAATTATAAATAGTTTGTGTTAGTACGTATTAATGTTCACAAAATTCACAATTTATTTAAACGAAGATTAACATAGAGACAACATATGTTTAATTTTTGAAGCTTATGTTGCATAAATTATAGTTATAATAACGTTGAAACAGATGTCTTCTAATTCTTTGTTCGGTGTTAAAAAAATTGGACATTCATTGTGATTGTCAAGCGTAACATACGTAAAACAACT